TTCTTTCTAAGGCTGTTTTTGTTGTAAGGTATACCAGCATCTATGATCATGCATGCTGGGCCTAAATGCAATACGTGTAGGATAGTGACACAGAAAATAACATATCCCTTGCAATAGAAAGCTGAACAGATTTTGCATGCATGCTTGATTTAAATCCTGTTTTTGTCGAGGGAAAACTTCCTTTGACAAGTTCATTACATTAGCACTGATGTGAGTGTCATTTTCACAAACGACCCCATTAACCAAGAAAGTCAATCTCCCTTTGTCAAACCGACAAAAATTACATAGATAACAGACTCCGGCGAGTTTTAAATTCATTTCAGCCTTGCTTGCCATCAAGGTGTGTCTGGCATTGAACTGCGTTGACGTTTCTTCTCGAGCTCGAAGTATTTGCTTAGTTGACTTTCTCGGACGATCAAAATGTCGTCGGGGAAGACGAAATCGAAAAAAAGTGGATCGAAGAAGAAGGTTCAACGTGCAACTTCCAACGTGTTCGCAATGTTTGATCAGACGCAGATTCATGAGTTTAAAGAAGCATTCAATGTGATCGATCAGGACCGAGATGGAATCATCAGCGCTAAAGACCTGACGGAGATGTTCAACTCTCTGGGCAGGCCCCAGAAGGACGAATATATCGAGGACATGCTGGGGGAAGCCACCGGCACGGTGAATTTTACCATGTTTATGACGCTGTTCTCGGAGAACATGCACGGGACTGATCCCGAAGACATGATCAGGAGTGCGTTCACGACTTTCGATCCCGATGGAACTGGAATCATCAACGAGGACAGACTGCGACCACTGCTGATGAAAATCGGGGACAGGTAGGTACAGAGAGAACTGAAATACCGACAGTGTTTCTTTATTGCGTCGTGGGCGCGCATTAGGGAGATGTAATATAAATAGGTGATCTCCCTTTATGGCGTTGATTTTTGCAATCGTATGTCTATATGTGTGAGCAGAATTGGGCCACATTGAAAATCAAGTAAGATCCAAAAGACACACCCGTCTACATAAAGAGGACGAGTTTCTGGTGACGAGAATTTTGCAATGACGAGCACTATGAAGGCTCTACTTCGTTACAACGGAAACAGTTTTCACGTTAAATGCGAGAGTAAGAAAGCAGTTGTCTTGACTGATATAACGCTGAATTCTCAACGCTGACATTAAAAGATATGTGCGCCCGTAGGTATGGAGAGTTTGAATTTGGGAATTTGTAAACAGGCTTGAATTTTTGTCCCGAGGGCCTAGGGTCTTCTAAGTTTATTCAGACGTCATATCATAGCTTGAACCGATAACTGTGTTCCTTATACTTGTTCATAGGGTTGTCTGACCCAAACTAGATTCACCAAACTCGGCTTCTGTTGATGTGATATTGGTTGTGAGAATCAAATACGTGCTAGGAGTTGATAGAGGAAGAGCATAGGAAAACAGAATTTGTTTACCAGTGTGTTAAATCAAACATGCCGTAGAATACTCTTAAATTAAACAGATAGAGATCGTAACAATGAACCATTTCGTCACTCAATTTACAAATTTAACCTACCTCGCCCACAAAATAACTGACAAAATTCTCGCTTTTTAAAAACAGATTGCTTAATTGCCTATTTGGAAGTCTGAAGCTGTTTTTTTCGCGAATCGAAGTCGTAAATTCTACTCTCCTTTTTTAATAATTCTGGCTCAAATACAGACTAAAAACATCACAGAAAATACCGTAGAGGTCAACTGAAGGTCATTAAAGCAGTTTTCACGGCTGTTCCAATAATCGAGATTCCACTTGTCCGAAACTGAGTGGACACTTGTGTATTCTTATGTCCTGCATTTAAACGGATTGCAACAATGGAAATTTTGCGCTGACGAATTCTCGTAGAATTATCAGTCTATCCCAGATAATTCTTGCTATATGTCTTGTTCTTGTGAAAACTGTCAAAGCGCCATGGTCAATGGGAAGGTCAAAGATGGCAATCAGATAATTATTGCTATATTTATTTAAACATCTGGCCTGAGGGGCAGTCGAGTCATGCAAAAAACGTAACCGCGAGATTAACGCGCGCGTGTTTTCCACGCGAATACAGCCACGTGATCCAAATGCTTGATTGTGTTAGTCGAGTACCCAGAGCTCTTTAAGGTACGCCCGGCCAAAATAGGTATGTTTAGTAATTGCAGTGTGTTTATAAGTTGTATTTCGTCTTTTTTGTAGGTTTACAGAGGACGAATGCGATGAAATGTTTCATTGTGCGAATGCTGATGACGATGGCAACTTCAATTACGTGGAATTCACCAAAACCATCAAACACGGTGAACAAGATGACTGATTAACAGAAGGAAAGAACTTTATCATTACAAGGAACAGAACTGTTCGTAAATAGCTAGCCTAGAAATTTTCATTTTATTGTAGTGCAACAGAATGATTTTGGATAATTAATTCAGATGATTAAACTGGTGATTTTGTCATTTATTTTCGAGGTTTAATTCAACGCTTTGAAATGAAGGCTGATTTGTCAGGCCAAAAAAATTTAATAATAATAGATGAAGTAAACTACTTTGGCGAGGTTTATACGAAATTCACGGTCAATTCTAATCATAGCATTTTGGTGGAAAAATATTTGAGATAAACATATGGTTCGAAATAGCATTATTTACCTGTAATCCTATTAAAATCGGGTTTTCCGGCACTACTGAATCCCCCAAATTTCAATCTTTCTGCGGGCTCCTCTAAATTTACATTAAATTTGTTAAATTTGCAATTGTTTTTTTTTTTTTTTTTTTTTTTAGTCGACTGAGGTTAAGCTTACGCTAAGAGTCAACCCTTCCAGTTAGCAAATCTAATTTGAGGAGAACATNCTATAGTGATTGCTGTAGTTTATGATGTTTCCTTTAATGTTCTACCTTTAATGAGGTCTTTAATATTATTATGGTCAAATGTTTAGTTTCATTCGAGAAATATAAACCTTTTTTTGAAGAAGAAATATAATTCTTTTTTTTTTTGAAGATTATTTGCAGCATAAAAATTATGTACAGCCGATCACTCGGGAGTCCATACAAACGGTGTACTATAAGCTTTTTCTTTACCCGTTTTCACCGAAGGGAGACTATACCGCGAGCTACAGCTTACGCAAACACTAACGAAAACAACCTTTAGTGAAAATACCGAAAAATTAACAGTAGTTAGGAAAATAGTTGATACGTCGCTGAATTCTTAGAACTTTCATCAAAGACAACTAAGTAATGTGCTAAGGAGAATTGATATGTTCAGCTTTGGAGCGGTGTAAAGGGCGTCGGTGACTAATCAACCGTCACTAAACGGCAAGAAAGATAACAGAACCGAGTTGTCATAACTGAATGAATCTGCCGTGTGAAAAGATGTTACCAGTTCCCAATAAATTTACCGGTATTTAATCTAATAAATCGGTATTTTCCTTAGGTTTTGCAATAGCAATTTGGTAACTGTGATCAAAATATCCGAACGATGCAGAATTAGCTGTAAATAACACGACAGATTTTCAAGCGGACTACAACTGTATGAAATGCTGACGTGAGAACAGGCAGAAATCTGCGCACCAGTTTGGTTCTGTCCTTTGTACAAAATTTTTTCGTCTTTTTTATATATCACGCTGCTTCTAACTGGACACACATGAAGGAAAGTTTTGCTGTAATGTCCTTCATTTCGTCGCTGTAATTTCGTGGGAAAAAGATTTGGTAGACAGGTATCAATTTGATAACATTTTCCTAATTAGGTCAAGGGCATTGTATCGAGTTCACAAAAGCGCGGTTTGATACCCGGCGATTTAAAATCCGTAAACATTCTAGCATTACTGCATAGTGTTTTTGCGTTGGGCAGACAAAGCGCGCGGAGAAAAAAGAAGCACACGCCTAAAATGTCTTCGAAAACGAAAGCTAAAAAGTCCGGCAGTAAGAAGAAGGCACAGCGAGCCACTTCTAACGTGTTCGCCATGTTTGACCAACAGCAGATCCAGGAGTTTAAAGAAGCGTTTAGCATGATCGATCAAGACCGCGATGGGTTTATCAAAGACACAGACCTGAAAGACATGTTCAACTCGCTGGGCAAGGAAGAATCGAACGATTACATCGACGACATGTTGAATGAAGCTTCTGGGCCTCTGAACTTCACAATGTTTCTGACATTGATGGGTGAAAAGCTCAATGGCACAGACCCCGAGGACATGATCAGGAACGCTTTCGCCTCGTTTGACTATGACGGCAAGGGGGTACTAAACGAGGACAAGCTTCGACCTTTGTTGATGGGAATGGGAGACAGGTAAGGCAGTTCTTCAAAGAAATTACCCAATCAAATTTTTTTGCTCCATGAAACTTAACCCCAACAGAATTCGGGAAATGTGATGATCTGGGATCGATTCTGACCGCTCGGGTATTGCGTTCTCGGACGGGGCAGTTTACTGGCGGGTTCAAGTGTGATAAAGATAATGGAGATTGCAAATTCATCTTACTGGCGACAAAAAGGACGGTGCTGACAGTGCTGTGTCTTCGCGCCATGTTTGAGAAAAGAGTGCGCAAGATGTCAAAAGCCCACGTACCACCGTGTTAAGTAGAACCTCGAGTTCTCAAAATTTCCTGATCATTGAGAAAAGAGATTCTTAGTGCATTTGGCAGGACTCAATAAAAACAGTTCAATGCGAATGCGAATTCATGAAGTGAAACATGTAATAACTCTACTGGATAAAGTATTTAATTTGTGAATTTAGTTTGTTGAAGCGTCATAAATTCCTATTTATACGGATTGTGATGTCTCGAACGAATGATAGAACAACGGGTTACTAAAACCAAGAGGGTTATAACAATGAGTTGTAAAAGTCTTACATAACTTGGCATGAAGGAAAGAATTTCAAACGTTTCAAATACTGCGACTTACAAAGGTCACCTCAGGAAGTGCACTTATAGCATAAAACCCGCGAACGTTCTTAGATGTTACGAGGTACTCTAAAATCAGTTGTTCACTATTGGTAAAAGTCTCGCCGTTCCAGTCAAAAAAGACATTAGTATTGCTTCCTTGCGTTGTTATTTGTAATGAGATCTCTTCTAAGCTAGCGTTTTCTAGCAGACTTGGCTCACGCTAAAGTTTTCCTCACAGCTTGAAGTCCCTGCGTGATTTTAATCTGCTCCACAACAGAGAAGCCTGTTGTGGTTATAAGCTTTGGTCAAATTTAAAGTCGTTCTGTGCATGACAGAGAAACTATAATAATTAAAAACTCGCTGTTAAATGGGTGAATCTTCGTGGTTTTATTCCGTTTTCTTATGTGTGGAGAAGAACTATCTTTGCTCCTGAACAAATTTACAGAGAAGCCATGAACAGCCTCAATGGCTGACAATTATCTACAGAGTTGATAATTTAATCCGGTTACGCGTCACTTAATTGAAATAAAACAATTATCAGCACAGTTGCTGCCAGTATAGGAATTTATTGTATACCGCAAAGACTTTTAGAGTATAGATATCAATGGAATGACCTAGAGTCAACAGGCAAGGCGTAAAGGAATCGAAAAATTCGAACAAATTATGGCAAATTTAATATTCGATTTAATGGACCTAAATTATGGAATGAACTCGATGAAAGATTCAAATCTTGTANGTATGTACTGTACTGTTTATTTATATATTTATAATTACAATCTTGTAAATTCTTTTAGTTGTTTACAGTAGTAGAAATAAACTGTTGTTGTTGTTGTTGAAAATTGGTTGTACCTCGCACCCCAACTTTGTGTGCGTTATAACCAGTTTTGATGTCTCTAGATCACGTATAAATAAGTCAGCGAGGCTTTCATCAACATTTTCCCTGTCTCCCAATTTCTTTCGTGACATTCAGTGTTTTTTTGACAAGAACGTTCTCTGAGGTCTGGGGTCTGGGGTCTAGAAATGTCTGCGTTGTGTTACACATCCGTGACTGTCACGTTTTCCTGCAGGTTCACTGATGACGAGTGTGACGAGATGTTTCGCTTAGCAAACGCTGATGACGACGGCAACTTCAACTACTTGGAGTTTGTAAAGACGATCAAACATGGCGCTAAGGACGACTAGTTTTGAATCAGGGCCATCATTTTCAGCCACGATAGTATCGAACATGTTTTCGGTTGCACGGAGATTTATGGGTTTTTTAAAATAACTGTTATATTATCATTTTTATAAATGTTACTTCTTAGCTTATCATAAGACAGTTGGAAAAGGGACGAGGGATGTATGGGCTATTAAACTTGTACTAAATGAAAATAATACATAGGGGTTGCTACATTGTTACGGCCAGCAAGCCATTTGTGACTCCGTAGGGTGGGGTGGGGTTTATAAATTGACAATGAGCCCGTGATATTCATCACAGAAATTGCTTGGCAACTATACAACCAGTGACCTATCCTGTGGAGTGTAATTTGTAATTGACTCAAACGTTCTGAAAGAGTTCAACAACGCCAGCAAATTAACAAAAGCTTAAATTAACACTACAGACACAACAAAAGCTCTGCATGCGCGTTAAACAACTTTATAACAGGCTTTGCTGTTCCCTACAGCAAGCAGCCGATCTTAAATCTCATTTTCATGTTTTTGCTTTGAATTCCACCGACTCCACCGTACAGTTCGGGAGTAGTTCTCAAGTCTACGCAGAATCTTTAAAAGACAATTTATTCGTGAGTGTTGACGTCAGTGTCGGCTTTGGCCGGGTTTGCTACATAAAAGCTTGGGAAGGGACAAAATACTTACAGCGGTTACTATTTCAATGGCTGTTATTTCCATTTTCCTCTGTTCTGGCGTTCACACCCGAACTTAGGCCTTCGTCACTCAGCCGGAAGCCAAATCCCAAACTGACCCATCATAAATGAACGTAATCAGGAAAAGTGGTTGAATAGCGGAAATCGTGTCGATTTCCTGACATCAGAAACAAGCAAAAATGAAACAAAGGAATGTTAGATAAAGGAGGCAAAAATGGTGCGGTCAAGGCAAAACTAAATTATAGTATTACAAATTATAGCATGAGTCGAGCATTGTAAAAATAAAAATATCACATTAAATATATCAGAGTATACGGTGTACTCTGAAAAATGATCATTGACATCTCGAGCGGTCAATTAACACCTCGGCTCAGTTTCCAGCCGTGGGTGTTTCGGTCAGAGGATCGCTGGCGCATCGAAACACCCACGGCTAAAACCTAAGACTTATTAACACCCAAGGAAACAATTCTACCTACAAAGGAAATCAAACTTCGCTGGTAAGAGCTAACGTTCACCCTTAATTTGCCGCAGACTGAGTAAAGAAACCGTTTGCGTACAGAACATTTCATTTGGTACAAACATAGCTGGAAATATTGTTTTGAAGGTTTTTGTTTCTGTCAGACATAATGGACTTCTCTAAACCTCAACTGCTTTAAATGCAAAAACAGCTGGAGAAATAATTTGGTCAACGGAAATCATCGGCGCCCTATACTCAAAATCAGCCTCGGCTTTCAATAAGCCGGTGATTCGGATATATATTTTTTCTCATCGCACTCTAATCTCGCTTTTGGAGTCATAAGGCGAGCAAGGCTTTGGTTTAAACCAAGATAACGCCAAAGCAGGTTGGTACGTAAATTTCTCCTTGGATTAAATTGAGCTGTTATGCAAATTATTTACGGACTTGAGGGTAATCTGCTAAGTGTCTCTTTATGATGCACTTGAATTTTCACCTGTTTTCCTTTTCCTAACGAACCTCGCTCGTTTGCCAGCGAGAGACGCTGCTGGAAGCACGTTAAAGAAACTCGAAGCTATAAATCTTTCAGTGGCAGAGAGCAGCACATTATCAAGCTGTTTTCACGCAGTAAATCGAAGCAGGTGCATCGGAAAAAGCGTCAGCCACTTACCAAGTTACAATTTCACCAACTCATTGCTCTTCAAATTCTCTCTGCATTTACCAGCTTGTTCGCTTATCTTGTTTTGTTCGACGGTCAAGAAAGCTGATTGAAGAGGTAAGACAACATTTATCTATCGCTCAAATAACAACAGATTTATTTTGTATCTAGTTAACTTATTACAAGAACTTGAAGTAAAAACTTTCAGTCGTTGTTAAGTAGACCAGCTGAAGCGATGAAACAACGATTATCACGAACATTCGAATTTCATCTTAACACAATCTCAGAAAAACAACAGTCATATGGAAACATAATAATTGAAGAATGTAGCAGAAGATGTATCTTCCGTCCACCGAAACGTGGTCGAGAATTCGAAGAAATTGCCCACTACTTTTTCTTTTGCTTTATTTAGCTGAAAAAAGCAACCAAGAATTGTTGGGCCTATGAAAAATTAAGTCGATTTCTTTTAAATCCTAATTCACACAGAATGAAGCTCTAAGCACGTTCGTTAAGGAGTGAATTATGCTAAGCATCAAAGACTCGTTTCAGTTTTAAACGGAACGTGCCAAATATTCTTATTTTAGTATATAAAATGACGAGTGGTTTCATATGGAAATTAAATTAAAAAAATACTATGCGTTTTCTAAGCAGATGCTAGGGCGAAAACAATAACAAACGTTGTTTCTACTTTTAATAGTTTTCTTTCGAAACTCTGCTAGAAAAGCAAACAAAATTGCAGGAACTAGTAAATTACAAATTTTTTTGCTTAATTTTTTCCATCAGCCTAAGTGTCGTAGGTACTGACATCAATCAAATTTAATAACCTCAGTTCATTTCACACCGATCGCAAATAAAGGATTTCAGTGGTGGTTTTTCCTGCACGCAATTCTTATCTCTTTTTATTGTAAATCTTTGCGGGGTTCTATTAATTTTACATACATTTGTTACTGTGACTACTGCCAAGTGAAAAATGGAAACATTCTGCCACGCTGAAGTCTCTCAGTTTTCACACGTTTCGGGGTGAGCGGACTACTGCACACGGTATGAACAATGAAATAAGCTAGATATCAGAATGACCTTTCAGTCTTTAAACTCGGAATAATTTACAAAATTTAACACAAAGTAAGATAAAATTCGTCTTAAAGAAGGAAGTCATAAATAATCAAGTGAAAAAGACTCCTAAAAACGTACAACAAAAATGCTGAAATTAACGACAAAATAAATCATGCTTTCATATAAAAACTTTAAATTTCAACTTAGTTTAGCTTAGTTTGAATAAGCTAAAGCTTTCATCTTCCACTACACCCCTTGGCAAATTGTTCCATAGGTAAGCTACCCTTATGAAAAAGAAATATTTTAAAAATTTAGTCTCACAGTCTTAAGACATGACTCCAGTACGAATTCGACTTATTTCACAACTTAAGTGGGTAATAATAGTGGTAAAAGTAGCAATACCTTAAATGGAAAATACATTATATGCAGTATATGGCAAATCATGAAGTAATGTTTCGTTAATGGTCACCGTATTCGACTTATTTCACAACTTAAGTGAGTAATAATAGTTGCAAAAGTAGCAATACCTTAAATGGAAAATATATTATATGCAGTACATGGCAAATCATGAAGTAATGTTTCGTTAGTGGTCACCGTATGGTACATTATGACGCGTTTTAATCCATATAATAAATTAATCTGTCAGGAGGACTTTCACTAACAACTAAGGGTGTGTTCCTTTGGATTGATCTGGATCAAGATCATGGTCCATGAAAGGAAAAGATTAATCCGTGACCAGAGTGGATTCATCGGTTCCTTGATGCACCATGATCCAGACAGATCTTGAATCACTGATCCTGATTCAGATCCCCCCAAAGGAACGCACCCTAAATGAAAAGTTGAAATGGACCGACAGTTTAGGTGTCAGAATTAGAGCGTGCTTCAAAGCCCGTAAATTCTGTTAACACTGAATTAAATAAAAACGACCAGAACGTTAGCACGCAAAAGACAACAAAACAACTCTACATTATAGCAAGCCGGGCTGCTTAAATTTGCACCTTCTTTACTTTTGAACGAGAAAACCCCCTCCAGGTTTTGTATTACACAAGATTTAAAAACAACGAGAAGAAGATTACCAGCCTACGGCCGTTACCTAAAAGAATCTACTCAGTTCTGAATGTTCGGTCTGCTAATCACAATTATTCCCATAGATGATCAACGTTCGATTTCCTCTTACCGATATCGATACTTTATCAAGCAGACACGTGATGACAATTAAAAAAACCGTCAACTACCAGGAGCCATAATCGGGGACCGTCCCCGATTATGGCTCCTACAACTGCTGCATACTGCTTTGATCCAACACCAATTTCTCAGAACTAGCATTCAAAGAAATATATAAGTTCACTAAGGAGAATTTCCATGATAATCGAAAATCGAAACAAAAGCTGGGAATAAACGGGTGTCTAGAAAACCCGAGTAGCGAATAGCGAATAGTCGCGAATAGCGAACAGCGAACAGCGAATAGTCCCGAATAACGAATAGCGCCGAATAGTACGAATAGTCTCAAATAGTGCGAATAGTGGCGCACAGTCTCGAATAGTGGCGAATAGTGGCAAATAGTGGCAAATAGTGGCAAATTAGTGGCAAATCGTAGCAAATAGGGTACCCAGTATCTCGCAGTCAACCTCGCAGCAACGTAGGACGGGATTTTCCCGCTAAAAAGCACTACGCTTATCAGGACAAAAGGTGTTTCTCAGCGAAATTTCTTCTGTTTTAACCGCTCCAAAAGCGTAAATACGTCTTTATTAGGTCATCCTTGTGTTTTCTGTTTTCTTAATGTCGGCGATGGACAGCCTACTAGCCTGAGTCCGGAGAAGAAAAGGTAATAAATTCTCTGAATTCTGTTGCTTATTTGGGTGAATTAATTAACGCAGGATATTAGACCTAAAGCGGTGACTATTGACGACTATTCGTCACTATTCGCCCCTTTCGCGACTGCTCGCCACTATTCGCACTATTCGAGACTATTCGCACTATTCGGGACTATTCGCACTATTCGGGACTATTCGCTATTCGCTATTTGGGCTTTCTAGACACTCGGGAATAAACGCCACCTCTTCGATTCTATGCCATAAACAAACGATACCAGTCGCCGAAGTTGATACTTGATAATATAGTTACTAGCAGTTATCCACACTGATTTGATTTCAATTCAGAATCCTTCGGGTTTAACTTTACTTTTCCCTCACGTTCATTAAAATTATTATTAAACAAACTTGGATTAAAACTGACAAAACATGAATCAGTAAAATTGTGAATAGTGAACTTGCTCCCAGAGTCCTCTCTTGTTGTAAGAAGAGAAAGTACTCTCGTATTGAGTTCTTTTATCTTATCTTTTGTCGAAGAAATTTTTTGTAATGCAGCTGACCGTTTTATACTTCCTGATGATGTACGTAGAAGAATACGAAACGTTAAGTTCTCAAATCAAGGTTTTTTACTACATGCGTTGTTTTGTAATATTTGTGACCGCAATTTTGTTTTATTTTTACTCAAGCTGAAATGGCCGAAGAATAAGAGTTTCTACAATTAGATCTTTTTTGTTCAGTTGTAATTGTTACCTTGTAATTGAGACGATAGCAATGCACTTTTTAGTAGTTTTCAAGGTAGGTATTTGTAGAGCGCTTTTCAAGATGTTGACGTGGAAACAACAAGTTGCTGACATGGGNCTTTCCTTATTAGGTACTGGTTTTCAATATTAGGTACTAGTCTTCTCGTTTAAATTTAATTTTATTGTAATGCAGCTGACCGTTTTACACTTCCTGATGATGTATGTAGAAGAATATGAAACGTTAAGTTCTCAAATCAAGGTTTTTTACTGCATGCGTTGTTTTGTAACATTTGTGACTGCAATTTTTTTTTATTTTTACTCACGCTGAAATGGCCGAAGAATAAGAGTTTCTACGATGAGATCTTTTTTGTTCAGTTGTAATTGTTACCTTGTAATTGAGACGATAACAATGCACTTTTTAGTAATTTTCAAGGTAGGTATTTGTAGAGCGCTTTTCAAGATGTTGACGTGGAAACAACAAGTTGCTGACATGGGTACGACCAAAATCTTGTGCAAATTAACGCTCTATTTGCAATGTGGAATCCGTTGACAGTATAAATGTGCCATGGAGGTCAGTAAGACATATGAAAAAACAAACGCTCATGATGCATATTGCCCAATCAAAGAGTATTTTCATTTATATTCGGTCCAAGCATAAGAATCACTAGGCTTGTCCAGGGTCCACCAGGACGCTTGGGCGTGGA